ATAGCGGGAGTCATCGCTACAGCTTTCGCAGGGAATCTGGATTTTGTCCGTAGCGGCGAGCGTCCATATATTAAAACTGATTCAGTTACTTGGCTAAGAGGCTCGGGAGCATAACCCAAAAGATATGTATTACTCTTTGCTGAGCCTAAAGTTGATTTCTTTTACATTTCTTCTACATTTTTTTTCGATCACATCCATCGAACATCGTACCAAAGGGGCCGAGAGGAATTGGTACTTACACTAAATCCCAATCCTCACTTCTCAATATTTACTTCCGTTTTAGTGGGTTTCAGTTCTCGCCCCTACTTACTTACTTCCGCTACGGTCCGATTACCTGTAAACACTCCGACGATGAGTGACACAAACCTATCCGACCATGTGATGATCCATTTGCAAGACCGACGGGGCGCAGCTTCGCTCCGTTACAGAAATTGTACCGAAATCACCGTTCTTGTCAACAGAAGCCCCACCCGGTATGAGAGATGATCGAGCTAGTGAAATGACATAGAGTAGATGCGAATCTCCCCACCTCGTATCCTGCGCTTGTAAGTAATATGAGAACAAAAATGAACGGGGCTCGCGAAAGGACCTCTCTCATCAAGTGTCCCCTTCGCGCGCCCCGTTCTTTCCTGAGCCCATACTGCTTACAAGAGCGTGCTACGCAGGTCACCCACCTCGGTGCATTTCTTGCAAATTGCTGAATCAAGGCAGCAGTCTGGGTATCTTGACAAAGGTTCAATGGAGTTTTTCCTTCGTGGTTGTAAAAGCTGACGTTGGCACCATGAAGAACCAAATAAACTGCTATAGCTGAGCCCGTGTGCTGATCTGTCTCAGCCCCCGCTGGGAGATTAAGTCCTAAACCTTGCAACAGCTGAATCGGTGAGAAAGAATACAAAAAAATAATAATAACACTCAAAAAAATAAATCAAATATCTATAGGGGCAACCAGTTATTTGTGACCTAGTCGTTGTCATAGTGACACTAAAATAATGAAGTAGACAAATTTCGAGAAAAATTAAAAGTAACGTTGTTCGACCTTTCGACGTTTCTAATATCACTATCAAGAATGATAGCCATTAAGTGTCAAACTTGTTAAAATAGGAGAGATTTGAATCCAATTTTCAATGCCGGTCATTTTCAAGCGTACGTATTGGGTGATTTTCACAGACAAAATTTAGAATACCTTTTTGTTATGTCAATGTTAGATATTCGATATTTTAAACTTGTTAGTATTTCAGCTCCTTGGCTTGAAAGAACATTTTAGTGATCAGTTATAAGAAAACGGGGCCAGAGGCATGAAAGATATTGCATCTGCATTTGTGGAGGGGTACCGGAAAGTTCCCTTAACAAGAGCTGCTTTCCACCTTACATACATATCAAACAATTTAAAAAGGTCAACTCAGAATCACGTTTGCGGCGACCGGAAAAGTCAATTTTCACCGCGTGACCAGTTTTTATCCTTTACTTGCTGTTTACTCTTCATTATAATCTACATTAAAGGGTAAGCCGTACTTTCATGACAGTGTTGGCCACAACAATTGTTTGGATAGCTTTCATCTGCTGATTTCCCATCTTAAGAGAAATTACCACATAGATCTGTAGTTTGCGGGCTGAGGTCCCGTTTATATGGAAAAAAATTGTCCCGGGAAGAAGAGTCACACGCTTACCCTAGCCAATTTTTCATACATTTCCTGCTAAAACGTGGCGAACGATTTAGGTGAGAAACAAAAAGTTGGGTCAGGTAGAAGGGTGTCCCATTTAGTCGCCTGGTATGGTCACCCTCCTAACAGGCTAATTTTGCTCTATATAAATACAGATCAATTTAGTTTTCTGGGAAACTTCCCACCTACCCCTTCCCTAAGCCATCATTTTGCTCTAAGTAAAAAGTAAGTATTAATGTTAGCTTAGGGAAGGGGTAAGTGGGCAGTTTCTGGGAAACCGAAATTGATCTAAATATTCTTTCTTTCTCGTCATTCGACCATTCGACCACGCCTTCCTCTCATGTTCTGAACCCGGGGGGGTACTCGATATATTCCTTGGTGGGGAGGTGCGGCGCGGCCCCTCATACCCTGACCCTGTTTAAGACAAATATCGCTGATTTTTCTACCCTGTTTAAGACAGAATTCCGAATTTTGATACCCTGTTTAAGACGTTTATCCTGTTTAAGACAAAAATTGATAAATCGATATCCTGATTAAGACAAAAAATGATAAATTCGATACCCTGTTTAAGACAAAAATCCCGAAAAACATACCCTGGCTGGCCGCACGTCCCCATTAAGCCCTTATAAGGAAGTACCCCCCCCCAACGTATTTACCTTTTAGGACTCTTATGTGGTTATGCCATACAATACATCCAAATTAAGCCATTACGCACAAGGGTCTAAATAGGCCACTTCCGAGTTCCAAAAACCCTCACTTTCAAAATGAGGCGAGGTTCACAACCTTTCTTGTGAAAATGAGTTTTATTTGCATGAGAATGAAAAATGATTTCCATATCAAAGGCTGAGCGCCTACCCTCGTTTTGAAACAGAGTCCCGGGGAACTCGCAAATGCCCTATTGAGTTACGTATACTGTAAAACTTAACGTATTCCGCTTAAAACAGTGAATTAACACTCACATAACAGAGCCAGATACAATAAAAGGTACGAATGCACCGAATATTTTTAAACTGTTCAGACCCTTAGATTTCAAAATTTCTCTGTTGCTTCTGACTTTTAGAGATATTCATAAAGCCTTTCTATTAAGCTGCAATTTTACATTAAGGAGTAATTTATTTGCTTAAATTAAGTCTCACAGTTGGTGATTAGGAATGAAATTTACGGAAACTCATTTATAGAAAAACATTTCACAAGATCTTTCTATTCTTGTAGCACTAATGAAGCATTAGGGACTAAACAAAGCACAAAACGGGTACCCGGTATATTAAGATGAAAATTCGCTCGTAAATTTGTCTCTCCAAATATTCATTCTTAAATTTCCGCTCATAAACTAGTGTATCGTAAAGGTTGGGGAACGTGTTGTTCCCCAAAAAGCTATAATCTTTCTCTTGACTGTCCTTCATGCCTCGTGCTTTTCAAAATGGCGGATAACATTTCAATGAGCCAGCGATATATCTCAGCGAGCACTCCCAAAAGTAACGAGCCAGCGATATATGTCAGTCAGCGTATATCCCTAACAATGTAACGTTGAAAAGATAGAAACCGTCTGCATTTTATGACCGGTGTCCAGCCTGGCCTTCGGCTGGGCCCCGGTAAAAATATGTTTAAACGAATTCAATTTATTTTTACCTTTGTGTAATTCAAAGTACATGTAATGAAAACTTTCTGAGTTTTTTGACTGTGCACCACTGAGCGCAGAATTTTTTCCGTACTTTCGAGAGATTAAATTCTCTTTCTTCTTTTATTAGGAGACCACAAAAAGGAAAAAAAGAGTTTTAATACGTTAATTTGCCAACAAGAAATCATATTTTTTCGCGATAATCGATGATCAATTACGCCTCTACTATAATCAGTTATCGGCACACCACCGAGAGAAATGATTTGATTTCCTAGATTTGTTTCCTTTGATTTCCCTTAATCAACACAGCTCGTGACCATCAGTTATTAATAAGACACGTCAATGGATATCTGGGCCCCTATCGAGGTCATTAGTAAGAGGCATAACATGAATCAAACCTTCAATTCTTTCAACACAGACTGAGATGACGCTCGATTATAAGATGGCAAAGTACTAAACAAAACCTTAAATAGACTAGAACGGAAAGTGAAAATGTAACGTATTAAAGGAGCTGTGTTACGAAATTTATCAAAATTCAAACGGCGGGAACTGCCAGCAAATGGAGTGAAACATAAAAATAACCGCTTAAAACATTGAAAGGGAAGCATAGATAACGCAGTAAATACAAGAATAGGTTCGGATGGACAAACTTGAAGAACTGGATTGAAAAGGATTGCAATATAATGGTTTCTGAGAACATTTTGTGAGCCTAAAAGTTTTTCACAGTTCCGTTATGTAATTTGAACGTTTCTGATGGTTTGATATAATGCTCGGAAGACATATTTGTTTGACACGAAGCTGTGGTTTTGTCGTCCATTCACAAATAATTTCTCAACTTCAATAGCGTCATAGGAAGGCTAGTTGGCATTAGAGAGCTTTAGATTCTAGGACGGGAACGACTACGAGTACGAGATTTGTCTTAAAGTTTTTTTTGCTTATTCTTAAATAATAGATACCCCGGAAAGCTTCATTGTACTTTTCATTCACCAGAAACGTTATCTTTATTGAAGGAGGTTAAGCCCTCTCCAAATAGCAAAATGACAAAACTACTCATATCTATAACTCTTTTCCGCCACTGCGACATTCCCGCTAAAATTCGCAGTAGAATAACCACGGCTATCACTTTTCACCCCAAAATGACGCATGTTTCACGCGCGAGCAATACTCAGTATTGAGAATCGTCTTAGAATCTAAAGGTCTCTAATATTAACAAAATGAACTAGACAGCTGTGAAACTGAACCCCTATAAAAGGCCGAAGAAAATAAAAACGATAAGAACCATCTCAAATGTGGGCTTTTTTTTCCTACAGCAAGGCTATATCAGCACGACATGTTGGCAAGATTAAAAATCGTGACCACCTTTCTAATTGTCCACCTTCTCAATGGAATATCAGGTTTGTTCGTTCCTTTTTTTTCGTTCAAACTAACTTTGTTTATAACATACAAAAAAGTAAATGTCGCGTTTTGATTTGCCAACTGCCCGTTTGCTATCTACCCAATGATGAATACTGACGAAAGCTAACGCTCGCTCAAAGCAGTACGTATCAAAATTCAACGCGCTTTTTCTTTACCATTGTTTTGAGGGGCTTTTTTCTTAACACTGACAAAACGATTACAAAGGTCGCTTAAGATAACATAAAACAGGTTGTCGGTAACCACTACGCATTAACATTCGAGGGGCTTAAATTCTGATTCAGTTTCCAAGAAAAGAGTTTAACGTAATGAAAAAGAAAACAAGAAAATACCTACAGAAATTACAATTCGAATATGCCTTTGAAAGTGAGTTTTAAACATTTTGATGTCATTTCAACGGTCGTCAAGGGGACTTGGGGCGCGCACAACTCCAAATTCGCTTCTCTTTCCCCTTCAAACACCTTCCACGCAGTCTACCACCTTGTTATGACAACCCGGTTACTGGTTCTCTAATAAAAGAAGTTTTACACAAGGACTTCGGGAAGTTGTCATTGAGCGCCTTCTGCAAATTTAGGCCATGTTCAGTTCGCAGTATATCGGATATCATTTCCTGCCAACCGGTATAGTATGAACACTTATCCGATATGTGACTTTCCGCTTTTTGTTCGGAATTTTGACGGGTCTGTATAGTAGGTGTGTGGTAGTGTAGTGGTAAGGAAGAGAGAGTAGGATATGAAAGGTCCGAGTTCGAGGTCCAGGGTCGACCCTGGGTTGCGATTTTCTTTCTTTTTAATAGAAAAACTTTCAATAACAGGTCAGAAAATGGTAGCGACCGTCGGCACAGGCGCAGTTTCGCTCTGTTACAGAAATGGCGCCGAAATCACCGTTTTCATGTGTGAAGAGAAGCCCTATCCAGAATAGATTTCGCCGGTGCCTTTGCAAAAGCTAACCGGGAAAGTGTGAACATAACCTAACAGCTGTAATTATTGTTCTTTTAGGGAAACAAGTACAGGTGACTTTCCTTGTGTTCTCCGGTAGAGACGATCCGCAGTGGTCTATCGAAGAAAAACATGAAAAATATGAAGCAATTAAAGAAAAACTCGCTGCAGCAAGGGGCGGGTCTTTAAACTACCCACCAAACTGGATGAACTCAAGACTTGGGTACAAAGGGTTCTTAGTTCAAGAACAAGCACAGGAGCAACCAGAACTAATTATAGGATCTAAAACAACGCCATTACAAGAGCTATTATACGAAACTCTTCCTCCAGGTATAGGGTAACTTAGATTGGGTCTGCGCGGGCTTTTGAGGCAGAGGGATGGAGCCAGGGGTCTGTTTTCGAAAAATGGCGTTTAACGTTTCGTACACGACGTTAATAATTAATCATTAGTATTTATCATTACAATATTTTCCACCCGGATCTATTCGAAAGTGTTAAAGAGTAAAATAGATCCAACAATGTGTCTGGACTAATAATGGAGAAAGAAATTCATTCTGGTCAGATTCTGGGAACATTTCTACCGCAGAAATTTTTGAGACCGTGAGTGATGAAGTTCTGACAACGTTCATGACGTGGATCCGGCTTAGAACTGAAAGGACTGAACTTTCTTTCCTGAGATGCTGTTCATTATAATGTACAAAAACGTTAAAAATCCTTACGTATATTACTATTCAAATGAAAATCTTAAGAAGTATAATCTTATTTATTCAGCATTTAACTGAATCAAATTTTGTATTTTCTTTGAAGTTTTCCGCCGACACTACTCTTATAGGTCAAAACATCATTGCCGAACTCTTACAGCTATCTTGCCTTTATAACAAAAGGTTTCTCCGTTTTCTTTGAGGCTGGAAGGAGGAACCTGCGTTGAAAGCACACTTTGAGGAAGTTCTCGAAAAGGAAATAAAACCCGGAAAAATCAGCGCAGTAAACCCTGCTCTCAGACCACCACGACCACTACCAAAAGGAAAGTCAGAAGAAGAAACCGTACTCGCAAAGAAACCGATTTCAGCTGGAGGTAGACGAAAACGTTACGCTTATCGATATTCTCCGTTCTTTTGGAACACCGGCAACGCACAGTTAGACAACAACTGCTACAACTACGCAAATAACAAACCCACTGATACATACGCCCAGCCGGGGAGGGGGAGTGGGGCCAAGTGCGAACGCCAAGATGAAATCTGCATGAGAAATGCAGCGGTAAACGATCATTTGGAATTTTTGGAAGCAGCCATAGGCCCACCTATACCGCCGGTTCCGAGTGGGAAAAAACATCTGGTGGCACTTTACGTTAACCCAGGTTAAAAAAATATCATTATTTTCTCGTACATAGGGTATAAAATGTGGGAGACGCTCATTTATTATATAAACTGCAGTGTTTTACAAGGATTTCTACCACCGAGAAATGTGGTATCTGAACACACGTAAAAATACGATATTTTTACATGTGAGGATATCGCTAATTTCACTGACATCAGGTTTGTCTCTTAAATTGTACTTAAATTCGTTGGTGTATCATCGAAACATCTTCGGGTCTTCCTCGAAAGTGCTCGGCAATCTTCGGAAAACTTCGGACATCTTCGGAAATTCTCGGTAAATGTTCGGGAACGTTCGTCTGGTCTTCGGGACAATTTGAAAAATCTTCGGAAATCTTCGGAAGGTGGTCGGAAATCTTCGGAAAATCATCAAAAACGCCGTCATCAGTCTGTTTATATAATAAAAAGAATATTACACGTTAGCTCGAAGATATGAATTTTATGTTCTAGTGGCAAGAGCCACTCGAACATAAAATTCATATCTTCTCGCCACCGTGTAATATTCTCTATATAAACCCTTTGAACACGGCGGAAACGCACAACGAAGCCCTAGGAAGGTATACAAGGAAGCCTAATATACTGTCTGGTACTGTTGTCAAGGTTCAACGCACTTTGGTATGAAACAATGGCAGAAACTTAAAGATGCCATGGCTGCTATAAATGCGTGCGCATTGTAGAATTAGAAAGCGAAAAAGAAAAAAAAGCGATTTTAGCTTGTGTACAGTATCACCCTCCCCTCAAACACAATCGGCGCGATTTTGTTTGAGATGAGGGGCGGCTGTATATGGACTACGCGATTTTCGAATCAGCTTTGTGCGATAAAAACATCTTTTCTCTTCCTGGAAAAAAATCACTTGCTTTCGAAGATATATTTCTGCGGTGGCCGTAATGGTATAAGTTACAATATCAAAAATATCACACTTTTCTTAGAACCTAAGTAAATTGTTCTCTCTCTTTTTTAGGTATCGATTTTCACTTTTACCAAATGGACCAGGAAGGCTTGTGGACTCATAAGCCCGGAAGGACAGCAGCTACCGACCGCGATAATGCGCATCAGTTGATTTTTGACCCAAGAAACGCTAATCGGAACGGTTACAACAGATTTGGTGGTTTCATGCTCAGTAACAAAGATGAAGTAACAATTGCTTAAAATATACCACGCCATGATGACGTTATGTTCATACATATTTATTTATCGTAGCAGACGAGAAACTTAACAGGGTATTAGGAGTTAGTCAATGTCAAACAAAAAAGAGATTACCTTACTTAAACTGAAGATACGTTCATACGTAAATTAAAATGGCCTGAAACAAATTTAAGTATGCGCCATGAAGGAAACCTTTTAATGCCAATGAAAGAATTAAAAATAAATAAATAAATAAACAAAACTGCATTTTTAACCAAAAAATAAATAAATAAATAAACAAAACTGCATTTTTAACCAGACACACATTGTGATGAATTTATGTAAATTAAGGATAGTCACACTTTCCCTGAGTCACGAGAAGCTCAGTGCGCTTTATGAGCACTTGGTTTTATTTCTGTATGTTTTTTTTACATTTTTCCTTAAGAACTATTTTTATTTTGAATAGCAGATATAACCATTGTTTCAATGCCAGCTGTTGAAAGTAACTTAAAGTTAAGAAATCCGATCTCCAACCAAGCTTTCTTCTTTATCAGTACGGGTTCAAATTTGATAATTGTTAGATCACGCCATATATCCACTGTTTCGCAGTTTTTCCTCTTCTCTAAGGTTATGTAAATGCTGGACATAAATTATGAAAAAGAAGCAACACCACGCTCGGAGGCGAGCGGCTCGAGGCCAAGAAACCTCGAAAAAGAATTCACTTTAGCGTGACTCTCTAAAGACGAAGAGGAGGGTGGACCATGCAAATAGTTTAGTATTGTCACGTGCCGTAGAGATAACAGAAATATTGCCGACCCTATAACACGCACCTAAACAGTGATCCCCCTTTTCCACAGAGAGATCTGCAGGTAGCTACTCTAGGCCGATAAGTCACAATTATTACTTTATACAGAATGCTGTATATTTTTAGACCAATTTAGGTCATGAACCTGATGAAGGAATAGAACAATAACAATTGATTTGAGCATTTATAAACTTTATCAAGTTGATCTTAAAGCGAGGAAGATAGAACGCACATACTCTGCATTCTTTACTGCCTATTTTTAGCGTTGTCACGATCTTAAGAGACCTGACTTGTACCCAATTGAAAGCTCCCGGGGTTCAGATTCTTCGTGTATTGTATGTGCGTTATAATGTGGCATTCACATTTAAATGATACGGAAATTCCTAAAACAAAACGTTTTATACCCAAAGGGTTTGAATTGGGTACGACATTGAGTCAGCCGAATAGATCTATAGGAAGGAGAAAAACCCAGAATAAGACGTCTCATATATGGCACATTAAGATGAAAAATTTCAAACATAAAAATCCATAGATGAGATGACGTTGTTGAGGTTTCCGTTGAAAAATAAATAAATAAATAAACGACGATAAAGGACTGACGGGGACTGAACGTGACAGAAAAAACGTAGGCTTGTTTTATGGTCGGGTATTCTAACAGATGGCAGTGAAACAAGGCTAATATCTTCTAGTCATAGAATTGTTGTCTAAACTTAAAATAGCATTTAAAAATATGTAAAACGAGTTGCAGGAATAAAACCAACAAATACTCCCACTGCGCTTTATTCTCATTTCATACATAGGAGTGTAACTAAGGAAAGAATGTCAAGGGATTCGTGACTGGGGGAAAGTGCGACAATATCCTGACTCTGTCAGACTATTTTATACTTCCACACCTTTGAGAAGTGTAGAACTAAGTAAAGAATGACAGTGGTTTCGTATGACCAGAGGAAAAGTGTGACATTATCCTGATTTGGTCAGACTCTTCCACACTCCCACACATCTGAGAAGTGTAGAACTAAGTAAAGAATGACAAGGGGTTCTTAACAGGGGGAAAAGTGTGACATTATCCTGACTTTGTCAGACTTTTCCACACTTCCACACCTCTGAGAAGTGTAGAACTAAGTAAAGAATGACAAAGGGTTCATGACTGGGGGAAAGTGCGACAATATCCTTACTTTGTCAGACTTTTCCACACTTCCAGACCTGTGGGAAGTGTGGAACTAAGTAAAGAATGACAAAGGGTTCATGACTGGGGGAAAGTGCGACAATATCCTTACTTTGTCAGACTTTTCCACACTTCCAGACCTGTGGGAAGTGTGGAACTAAGTAAAGAATGACAAAGGGTTCATGACTGGGGGAAAGTGCGACAATATCCTTACTTTGTCAGACTTTTCCACACTTCCAGACCTGTGGGAAGTGTGGAACTAAGTAAAGAATGACAAGGGGTTCATGACTGGGGGAAAGTGCGACAATATCCTTACTTTGTCAGACTTTTCCATACTTCCAGACCTCTGAGAAGTGTAGAACTAAGTAAAGAATGACAAAGGGTTCATGACTGGGGGAAAGTGCGACAATATCCTTACTTTGTCAGACTTTTCCACACTTCCAGACCTCTGAGAAGTGTAGAACTAAGTAAAGAATGACAAAGGGTTCATCACTGGGGGAAAGTGCGACAATATCCTTACTTTGTCAGACTTTTCCATACTTCCAGACCTCTGAGAAGTGTAGAACTAAGTAAAGAATGACAAAGGGTTCATGACTGGGGGAAAGTGCGACAATATCCTTACTTTGTCAGACTTTTCCACACTTCCAGACCTCTGAGAAGTGTAGAACTAAGTAAAGAATGACAAAGGGTTCATGACTGGGGGAAAGTGACACAATATCCTTACTTTGTCAGACTTTTCCACACTTCCAGACCTCTGGGAAGTGTGGAACTAAGTAAAGAATGACAAAGGGTTCATGACTGGGGGAAAGTGCGACAATATCCTTACTTTGTCAGACTTTTCCACACTTCCACACCTCTGAGAAGTGTAGAACTAAGTAAAGAATGACAAAGATTTGTGAGAGATTCATATTTATCCTTGGTCAATATCCTTGTTTCACTGCCAATATCTTTCCTTACAGCGATTTTACCACATTATCCTCAGCCTTTCTGTTTTCAGGCTGAAAAATGGCAATTTAGAAGTACTTCTCTCTGGTACTGTTTACTATGCTGGAAGAGGTGGTTAGAAATTTTAGGTAAATTTTGAGTCTGTGGATGAAATTCTAAAGTACAACCATTCAAATGAAAGTTACTCAAGAGTTCTTTCCTGTAGTACTGTATATTATGCTGTACAAGGTGGTTCTAACTTTTAGTGAGTCTGTGGATAAAATCTTACAGAGTTATTATCCAAATGAAAGTTACTGAGCAGCAATTTCCTGCCGGTACTGTTTATTACGCTGCACAAAGCAGGTGATTCTAACTTTGAAATCTGTGGATGAAAACCTAAAGAGTGACCTTTTAAAGGAAAACTACTAAGCATTACTTTCCTCTGGAAACGTTTTTTATACTCTACACGGTGGTTACAACTTTTGAGTCCGTGGATGAAATTCTAAAGAGTGACCAACTGAGATGAAACCTGTTTTTTCCGTCCTTTCGCACAATACTTATTAGTTTTAGATTTGTGCAAAATCAAATTTGGAATTTTTCGATAATTTTGATTTTGAGCAATCTATGTCATCCTAGCCTACGCCACAGACGAAACTTAATGTGCAGTGGTAAAGAATTAAGTCTGCAACGCAGGCTTTGTCATCTAAGCTTTATGTGAAATATTCAAGTACACTCAGTGGAGGCAGCGTGATCGAGCGGTTAGATCCAGGGGCACCCAACGACCGTTTTCTGGGAAATTATCTGAAATGGCTCGTTATGCATCCTGGAGTGCTTTAAAAGCAATATAAATGAATAATTCGCATCTTTAAAATAATTTGATCTGTTCGGTCGTCCTAGGAGTGGTTTGGTTAGGGCTCTTTTTCGCCTTTCCCGAAAATAACAGCCTACAGTGAAAGCTCTCCGAAAACGTAAGATTACTTGACGAGCTCTTCCCTTAGCCGAAATTTTTAGGGGTCCTTTCAAATTTTTTCCGAAAACTCTACGGTCCAAACGGTCGTTGGGTGCCCCTGTAGAGCGCTGGACTTGTAATTCGGAGGCCCCGAGTTCAAGTCCCGCCCTGACAGTTCAAATCCTCGGTCATGCTTGTAAATAGCCAACTGGTTCGCCTAATACCAGCTGGGATTCTTATGCTCGCTCTATTTGAATTATTGTTTCATTATCCCTGAGAAGCCCCATAAGGGGAGTGGATAATTAAGTATTTGTTATTATTATCATTATCATTATCATTATCATCATCATCATTATCATATCATTATCATTATCATTATCATTATCATTATCATTATCATTATCATTATCATTATCATTATCATTATCATTATCATTAACATTAACATTAACATTAACATTAACATTAACATTATCATTATCATTATTAATAGTAGTAGTAGTAGTATTTTCATTTTTATTTTTATTATTATTACTTACCCCTCTTAACCCAGTGTTACCCACAGCCTGGTGAATAATAGCAAGACTGTAATGGAGTGCCACCATCCAGCAGTTCTATCATAGCTATATAAGCCTCTGACACAGATAGCGCCAGGGCTGTTTGTCTCTTGTTGTTTCGTAAATTGATATCACAATGGTCCTGAGGTTACAAACAAAACTGTGTGAGAGGCCACTTATCAACCACGTATAAAGGTACGGTAAGAGCGGAGTATTTCATTCTCTGGGTGGTTTTCCACTGCGGCGAAATTTTACCTTGCGATCGCGCAAAAAAAAATTTACCTGCGTAAATGAAATAGAGGCAATGTATGAAAGGCCAAAAGGTTCAACTTTAACGTATACGCGTGACCTTCTATACATTGTCTTTATTTCATTTACGCGCACGTACTGAAGAATTACGCGACAGTGGAAATCCAAACCTTCAGAGTGGATTTCCACGTGATTTTTATGGGCGTGCGCAAAATTTACGTTACGTTTAACTGCGGCCTTCCATACACTGCCTATATATATTGTTTACGCAAGTCAGAAAATTTACGTGCGAAATTACGCGACAGAGGAAATTCACCCAGTGACCCTCAACCCCCGCACGCCATGATAGACTTACACAGGGTACCTATTTTATACCTAATATTATAAAGTATATTATTGTTACCCCTCCCTTCTGATTCATTGAATGTTAGTCTAGAC